AGATGGAACCGGTTGGAGTCGAAATACGTTCAAATGTAGAGAATGGCACAGCATTCTGAGCATAAATGATTTTCGAAATTGAATGAGGGTTTTTCAAACCGGGATATCGAGCCTACAACTGAACACAGCGAGGAGGAAACTGTCTGTCATTTTCAGATCACATGGCGGCCATGGGCTCCTATGCCGGCGGCGATGCGGGGTCGGTTCCCTGGTGCGAAGGAGACCTCACGTTTCCGGATTCTGCTTGAGGGCCCGGTCTGTCGGGCTTGGTACCTGGGGGAGCGTTTTCTACCCCAGACCCGCGGGTTACCTGAGCAGATAGTCCCGGCTCACCCTCCTGCAGAGATGAGGGAGACCGAGGGGCTCACCACTGAGCAGCTGGATGATTACTCCATCGGCTGGGAGGAGGCCGGCTTTCGAGGCACCGGCGATTATCAGGAGTACGTGCGGACGTACCTGATGCGCCCCCTGAGTGGTCGTCGAGCAGAGGGGTCCAGGCCTGTAGCATCGGCGGCTGGGCCAGAGCGGGAGCAGGGGCTGGATCTTCGAGGAGGGCCCGGGTCCGTGGTAGGGGTAGAGCGCAGGGAGGACGGGGAGCTGGCTGGCCTGCCCTGCCTGCTGTACTGACTTTCCAGGGGCAGGGTGGGTCGACCTATCAGATCCCCTTCGCCCCTCCACCGGCTGGTCACGAGCTCATCGACGTCCCCGACTTACCACCGGTATGTATCACTGCATTTTGTACAGTTATTCAATTCAGTTTACTTGATATTCCACAGAATATTGATGCGTCTGATACTTTTGCAGGCTTCTTCCGAGTACACCCGTCAGTCGTTGGCGATGAATGCCTCGATGATGGGGATGCTCCAGCGGACATTTGACCTCCTAGCCGTCTACAGCATACCGGTATGTTCTTCTGACATTGGCCTCAAACCACTTATACACTGCTTTACATAATCTGATTCATGGCACAACACCTGACACACTGATCTCACAGCATCTGATACACTGCATACACTGCATTCTGCACTGTACTCTGTACTGATAAACTGCTCACGGCATTCTTACACTGTATTCGCACACTGCATTCTGCACTGATAGACTGCTCACGACATTCCTACACTGTACTCATACACTGCATTCTGCATTGCTAAACTGCTCACGGCACTCTTACTGTATTCATACACTGCATTCTGCACCTTTAAACTGTTCACAGTGTACTAATGCATTTTCCTTTTTGTGTACTTTTTCAGCCTCCTTTCCAGATTCCCATGGCAGGAGGTGCTCTGGCCGGACCTTCTGGCCCTGCTCGGGGGAGAGATGAGGAGGGCAGGATATTTCCCCGTACCAGGGGAGGGCGTACTCACATCGGGAGTAGCTCGCGAGCTCCAGTCCTGGACGATGATGATGACGAGGAGTCAGAGGCGGAGGCAGAGGCGGAGTCAGAGTCATCAGAGGAGGAGACCGGAGGAGGCACTAGCTCGGGCTCTGACGATGATGCTGATGATGCTCCTGGACCCTCGTCCAGGAAGAGGACTAGGACAGACTGATGGCCCCCCTCCCGGAGTACTCGTCATGGATGCAGCTTTTGTTATCTTTTCTTTCTTTCTTGTACTTTTCTTTTTGTTGGTAGATAGATTACCTTGTACTGCCGCAGGCAGATTTTTGTTTCCAAAACAACTTGTACATTTGAAAAGATAATGAAATGAAACGGACTTTTTATCTGAAAAAGTGTTTACATTTACACATTTCATGCATTGCATCGCATCTCATCATGTTACACCTCAATGTAAATGGAATTGATTGGTTTTCTGAAAATTGAACACTTGCACTGTAATAATCAGATAACTTAAACAGCCAACAGCAAAATGCACCCAAGCAACCCACTGCCTGATTCTGGACACACAGCCCTTGCTCTACTGGGGATTAATCTGCACACGGCCCATAACACAGCATTCGATTCATTTTGCACACGGCACTGAAAATTGAACACTTGCACTGTAATAATCAGATAACTAAACAGCCGACAGCAAAATAACCCAAGCAACCCACTGCCTGATTCTGAACACACAGCCCTTGCTCTACTGGGGATTAATCTGCATACAGCCCATAACACAGCATTCGTTTCATTCTGCACACAGTAAATTCTAAACAAAACTGCCCAATCTGACAAGACGGCCTACAGCGGTGAAGCCAGCTAGGGTTGAAACATGCTCAAATGTAGAAAATGGCACAACATTCCGAGTGTAAGTGATTTTTGAAATCGAATGAGGGTTTTTCAAACCAGGATATCGAGCCTACAACTGAACACAGCGGGGAGGACTCAAATATAGGTACACGACCTAGCACAACGAGACACGCTCGAAAAAGACCTAAAACACAGGTTGAGGTTAACAAAACCAAAGACACGACATACAGACGCGCTGACGAAGATGGGGGACCTCAGATCACGAGGAACCAGTTTCTCTAGGCATTGTTTCCCACCTTTTCTGATTGGCAGCAATGAGAGCAGGCAGCAAACAGGTTTACAAAATTAGTTGTAGTCGATGTGACAGTGGTAGATAGTATGAACTCATTTCCTGAAAAGAATGTTGTTGTTTCAGCTGATCTGTCCAAGAATGCTCGGAGCAAAATGACTAAGCCGTCAAGGGGCCTTGCTGCTTCAAGTATAAAGCCAAGTAGTAATACAAGAATGGAGACTGAAGCATCACAGAACGGCAACAATGAGAGCAGACAGCACACAGGTTACAAAAATTAGTAGTCAATGTGACAATGGTAGATAGTAAGTATGAACTCATTTCCTGAAATGAATGTTGTTGTTTCAGCTAATCTGTTAAAGAATGCTAGGAGGAAAATGACTAAGTTGTCAGGGGGCCTTGCTGCTTCAAGTATAAAGCCAAGTAAAGATACAGAAGTGGTGCAGGGTGGGAGGACACACCAAAAGGATCCAAAATTACCCAAGTCGTCAAGGGGCTCTGCTTCTTCAAGTATAAAGGCAAATAGTAAAACAGAACTGGTGCAGGGTGGGAGGAGGACACATCAAAAGGATCCAAAATCAACTCTTCAAGATCCTCTATACAAAGAGCAAGAATTAAAAGCTGCACTTGCGGTATGTTGTTGTTGATATGCAACTAATGTCCATATATAGTGTAGATTTGACGACACTGGTCAAGCAAGCACAAGATTCAATTTCCCTTCATGAGATATATTTGAAGCATGCTTACTGCAGTTTTACTTAATTATTAATGAATGATTTGATCCCCTCATAGGTGATTAGGAAAGTTATGAAAATGGATGCTGCCCAGCCCTTCAATCTTCCAGTGGATCCTATCGCACTGGGAATACCTGTAAGTATTTTCCTTTCTTCATAGGTGTATACATCTAGGAGCTGTCTGCTTAACTTTATGTTCATGGCTATTGAAATACTAAGTATTTGAACGCAAATGTTTGGGAGGAGAAAATTTTTCTAATTTTAGGTTACTGGTGATTCTCGTAAAGAGCTCTCAAGGTAGGTAAGTTGTTAAAAAGAGTTGGAGTTTATTGCTTGGGAGACCAATTCATGTATTGTTTATGTATAACTAGAAGTCTAGTCTCCCTTCTTTCGTTTACTAGCAATTGCTTTTCATTAATATTAATTTTGTAGAAAGTATATTGCTGGTATTTTGCAAATAAGATGCTAATGTTTTGCCGGAAATCTTGAAATGCAAGTAAACGAATACTTAGATTATTGTTGCTGTGTATTAAATTATGAAAAACTTATACGTTCTTTTAGTCTTTGTCAAACTTATTTTATTATATAGGCTAAAATTTAATTTAATTTAATTTTGTTTGTTTGTTTGTTTTTTTTTTTTTTTTTTTTTGGCGCGACTGGAACCAGGATTATTTTGATGTCATTGATACACCTATGGATTTTGGTACAATATGTAAGAATCTTGAAAATGGTGTGAGGTACAAGAATTCAAAGGATGTCTTCAGGGATGTGCAATATATTTGGGATAACTGTTCTAAGTATAATGGTGAAGGTCATCATATTTCGGGGCTTATGAAGCGGGTGAAGAAAAACTTAACAAAATATTGGACAGAAGCTGGGTTGTACAAAGAACAACCACAGGAGATACATGGTAGGGGTTTCATGGTTATGCTTCTTCTTATTCCATGCATTTGGTTTTTCTTCAGTATGCTTTCTTTGCCCCTTAACTTTGGATTTCAATTTGTCAAGGAACACTATAACTCAGTCTCTTGGTTATCTTGTGAACAATACTATCACATGTTGTAGAAATTTAATGTAAACATAAAGCCCTTTTGTAGGCTTATGTCCATCTGGAAAATCTTTTTCATATACAAAAGGTGCCTGTCTAATTTGTTATTCTTCAATATAAATACTGATTTATTACTATTTTATTTGGTATAATCCTCAGATCTATGAATAACAATACTATCACATGTTAAACTTGACTCTCTTAAACATAAAGCCCTTTTGTAGGCTTATGTCCATCTGGAAAATCTTTTTCATATACAAAAGGTGCCTGTCTAATTTGTTATTCTTCAATATAAATACTGATTTATTACTATTTTATTTGGTATAATCCTCAGATCTATGAATTCTGTGGACTTCAAATTAGCAGATAGAATAGAATTTTGGCTGCTGGACTTGGGTGAAATTCACTCATTGTAATATTTTTCATTTTTAGCTGTACTGTTATCCCTGCAAAAGTGGCTGCAGAATACTGTGGCCAGAAGAGAATTGTTACTGACTACGCACTAGCCTACCAAGTGGCTCAGAAATTAGCCATGTTTTGAAGAGGGAAAAAAAAAATGAAGCAATTAGGTTATCCAAGTCATTGATTGAACAACCCCTTTTTGCATTTTGTGCCTGTGACAATGTTTGACATGATGATTGAATCAAATGTTAGAGAAAGCTGTCCGGAAATATACATTATGGTTAATAATCTTAATTAGCTGTTCAAACTATGTATAGGCAAGGCAGGGAAAAATTAAATCTTGCCCCATATAAGTAGGGTATGTAAATACCCTGTTTCAGACATTCTGCAGAGGAACCATCAAAGAATTATTTTAAATATGACACACTAAGAAAACAATATTCTAAGCAGAACACACTTTGGTTTGTTTAATAATTGTAATTTCTTGCTCGCAAGTATTTCATTGTTCATGTCCTTCTACATGCATCTACGCCTACCTCTCCAAAAAAATTGCTGAATGATGTTCCTAAGCCTCACTCAGTCACTGTAGAGTCTGATCAAAGGGCATGATCAGAGGATAGAAAATCAGAATGAATGGTAGGTATGAGGCCCTTTATCTAAAATCAACAGTAGATATATGTTCTTATCAGTTTAATATCTGATAAATCAGTCATGCAAAATGTTATAGTTCAGAGAAAATAATGGCGATCTGGATGAAAACATCTTGGCTACATTTCTTTCTTTTATTCTTGATAAATCGTAATAGGGAACTCCAAGTTCCATGTTTGTCTTAGTCTCTAAGTTGTATTGCCTGTCATTCAAATTCATCAGTGCATCTCTACTGTGTAATTAGGCAGATTTAATGCCATCTGCTGCTGCTTTTTACAGTTATACGTGTGTTTCTTTTATGAAGGATATTCAGATGTAGCTCCAATGGAGTCTACTATGAGGTGCAGCACACATGGGCACAGTAGCCTTGTAGGCCCTATTATTGACTACCCCAGACACCAGCAGCAGCATCAGATGGACCTGAGCCAACATCAGCCCTATCACCCTTCACAGAGTTACATCATGTCATATCAGCAGCAGCAAATGCCTTGTCAGCACCAGTGCCAGTGCCAGCTGAGATCTGGAGAGCAGCAGACTTCCCATCTACAGGCTGGTAGAAATGTTGGTAGTGCAGGTATGCTTTGTTTTCAGGTTCAGTTGGGTTGACCTAGGCCGAAGGCCTTATGTATCTAATGACAAGCAAGTGCATCACACTACATCAAGAGGCTTGCAACATGCTTACACTATATAGGGATGTTGTTTGTCGCATCTTGTGTGTTAAATGATACTAGCAAAAATACCTACTTCAATTACTGGATTTCTTTCATTAAATAATGCTTAAGCATCAATAGAAATGCACATAATTGTTATCAGCTAATGGCTTGCCATAAGGGAAGAAAAGAAGTAACTAATGTTGAGGTTATGATTGGTCGTCACCTTATCCTATGGTGGTGTTCATTATGGCGATTCTAGTTTAGATCCGACCCGTTTATTGTTTTGAATTTGGAATTCCTATTCTTGAATGGTTGTTCATATCCCTATTCATCTTATTCCTTATTGAATTCGGTTTTTTGGTTGTCGTAGTTGCGTTGGGAACAAGTTGGGAGTTTGTTTTTCAATAAAACTGTTGCCTAGATTTTGGGCAGTTTGCTCGAGTGGTCCTTTGTTCGCTCGAGCGGTTTTTGAGAACTTTAAGTATTTTTGCAGGTTTGCAGAGATACTGGGAGGATAGTGTTCTTCGCTAGGGCAGTGTTTCTTGCGCTCGAGCAATCTTGACTCGAGTGGTCTCTCTTTCTGCAAAACTTCTAGGAGGGTGTCATTGTGCGCTCGAGCGGTAACTTGTTTGCTCGAGCGGTCCCACTTTTTGTGTTTGGTCGCTTGAGCAGTGTTTTGGTCGCTTAAGCGGTCTGCGCGTATATCAGTCCGTAAAAGTCAATTTTTGGATCACTTTTTTATTTCTCTCTCTCTCTCTCTAAAACTTGTCTTTAAATCTCAAATACACCATCATCGGTTGATTTCTCCACCATTATCTTTTGGAGAAAAAGGTACAGCGCACCTAGAGCTTCGTTTTAATCTGAAAAGTTGGTGTTTTCATCGACGTTGAGTTTTGGGACTTTTGGGACTTTTGGGATTTCTCCTCTTTTGGAGTTGAGGTAGGGATTCTCTTAGCGGTGTGCATGTGGTTTAGCTTCGTAATATGTTATTTTGTTAGTTATGGGTTTTCAAAAAAAAAAGAAAAAGGATTTGGATATATATATATATATATTAATGCACAAATTTGGGGAAAAATACTTGTTTTCAGTTATGGTTTGGGATTGGTAACCTAGTGGTTGTCGTGTTATGTATTTTGAAGAAAACATTTGGTTTTAATGGGTTTTCAAAGGTTAATCAAAATCTAGCGTTTTGGCTGCTTTTATGGAAAAAGGATGGAATTAGAATGGTTGTGGGATTTTGGTTGAAATGAGGTTTGGTGGAGAAAAGTTTTGGAAATTATTAGAAAATACCAAATATTAATTACTCTTTTGAAATGGTGGTTTTATTGGAAACGATATGAGCGGTTTTGAGAAAATTGTATATTTTCGGTGGAGATTCACAAGACTCGTGAGGAGTGTGAATGTTGTTTTGGGAATCATGAGATTTTGTATAAATCATTGGGATTCCGATTTGGTTATGATTTTGGAATATTATCATTGTTGTTGTCTTTTAATTAAAGATAATTGTTGTTGGCAACTGGTGGAAGGTTGTATTTATTGTTGTAGAAACTGCATGTGGATTAGGGGATGGAAACATTTGCAAATCATACATTGCATTGTGCATATCATGGATTTGTAACTAGAGATTTCAATATTTCGGAAAATGTACTGCTGTTTTGAGATGCATGTATTGTCCTATTGAAAGGGTAAATAAAATGGTAAAGCTATGAGGGGGTGTTAAAGCAGAATTAAGTTGGCCTGCGTATCCTTGGTGTAAGACCCAAAACCCGCGTGGTAGGTGCCGAGCCTTCCGGTTAATACCGGTAAAAATGGCATAGTGACTTGTATAGTTACTATTATGAACATTAGCCCTGGAGATTTATTCATTATATTTACCACTTGGTTTTTTTGAAGGAATATTGTTGATTTGGAAAGATGTTTTGGAAATCTCGCATTGCATTGTTTCAAAGAGGGAAGAATGCATGTTTTATCATGACATTTCATGTGCATACATCTTGTGACATTGTTAAGCTTCATACATGTCATTAAATTTATTTCTACTAGGCTTTATGCTCACCCTACGAGGGAAACCACTTTCAAGTGAACCGGTGTACCTCCGCCAAGGTGATGACTTGGGAGGATCTTGGAGCTTGAGGCTCGTATGTATTGTTTTCTTTGGTTGTTTGTTTGTAATTGAAGCCCCGAGCTTCTTTGTATTAAGATGTGATTCATTTGTTGTAACCGGGCAAGGCCCTGGAAACTTGTAGCCTTTAAGGTATTAACCTGTAATAGTTTATTTTTATTCATTCTAATAAGAACTCATGTTGTATAACTAAAAGAATGTACTGAGGCATGTGTTGGAAATGATGTTGTATAATCATATTGTTGTTGTGTTCCCAATGTTGGTATTATTATACGGAGTAGAATGTCTATTTATTTGGGGGCGTTACATTCATGCTAAGTTGCTAACCTTTAAATGGGGTATGAATATTCTGTTTATTTTAGCCCATCGAACTTGCTGCTTTCTCTTGCAAAGCCTTCCATAATTGCTGTTCCTGTTCGAGCAACACGCAAGCAATCCCTTGCCCTTAAACTCCAGTTAGGTGGTGCTTCTGTTTTTAGAGTTTGCAGGGGCTGCCCTTGCTTCCTCGGGCATCAAATGGGTGTTGCCTTGCTTCTAAAGCACCATAAAGGTGCTAACCTCCTTTTTCAAGCATTATATAGGTTCAGCTTCTAAAAATCTTCAGGTTTGGCAGGTTCAACTGTTGAAGAGTGTGAAGTCTTTTTTTTTTTTAGAGCACCAAGTACCCCTTCATTTCAATGCACTATAGATAACACTAGACCTAAACACGGAATCTTTTTCTATGCCATCTGAAATTAGAGGTCTTTTAACATTTGCTAGATGCTGCCTTGTGCATGTGGATGGAGTTAGCTCACAGCTCTAAACAGCTACCTACAGCTAAATATTAAAATAATTATAATAATAATAATTATTATTATTAAAGAGAACTTGAGAAATTTTGTTAAATCTGCCAAATTTTCTATATATAGCCTATTCTGTGTAATTTGACCACATTACTCAAATGCATACCTCTGTAATGAATGCATATTCAATATTATGTATTGTACTCCTTTCCTAATAATTATACACTTCTCTTTTATGAAGGACATTTTTGCTCACTGCCTCCTGTGGAGCCCATGATAAGGAGCTGCAATCATGGGCCTAGGTTTCCAGTGGGCCCTATGACTGACTATGCCAGATATGAGCAGCAGGATCTGACTTCCCCTAGCCAAATGTGTCCCCAGCCATCAGCAAGCTATGGGCAGCCACGTCATCTTCAGCAGGACTTGCCGGGTCCAACTGAACTCAAGCCAGGCCCAGCCTTCCCAGCCACAGATTGTCTTGGAAATGGGAAGTGCAGGTATGATATGTTAGGCTCATCACATTGAATATGACAAGTTTTTGTTTCTTAAAATGACTTGAGTTCTATCATCTGTTTGATCCTTAACTTCTTGAAGACTTGTCCCACTTCAAACTTGGTTCATATAATCTAGCGCAGCGCCTCTCCACCTAAGGAAAATTGGTTTTGGGTTGGTTGCCTTAAATAATTCTAAAAATTATCAATACTCATAATTTTTATTGGCTGATGTTGAACTAGAAAGTAAAAAGAAGTAATTATGTTGAGATGATGACAGGTCTATCGCCTTAGCATTTCACCTTTTTCATTGGACTAAATGTGGTATGAACATTCTAACTTGTCAAAGTCAAACTTGCTGCTTTCTCTTGTTACCTTAAAACCCTATAGGTGTTGATTCTGCATTTAGAGTGTGCAAGGGTTGCCTTTGCTTTGTCGGCATCAAATAAGTGGTGCCTTACTGTGAGAGTACTGTACAGGTGCTACCCTTGGTTTTTAAGCATTATACAGGGTCTGCTTCAGATAGGCTTTTAGGCTGGCAGTTTGTAGAGCATTGCAAATTGCTATCTTTACTTTTTAGGGCACCAAATAGGCACTGTTCATGCTTCTCAAATTTACTCTAGATAATACTAGATCTAAGCACTCAATATCTGTTTCCATACCATCTGAATACGGGTATTCCAACATTCCCTTGATGCTGGCTTGTGCAACTGGATGGAGTTGGGTCACTTCTATAACCAATGTTTGTTTTTCTCTATGTAGAATCTCAACGAAGTTATTTATCAAAAAAAAAAAAAAAAAAAAAAGCAAAAAAATTAAGTTAGTTTAACCATTAGAAGCAATTTCTTAGATATGGCCTAGTCTTTGTGTTTTATCTGTTACTGAAATGCATTGGTGCATGCCTTCTTTATAAGCAATACAGATTCAATATGTAGTTTAATACTTTCCTAATAATTCCCTCTTATCTTTTTTATGAAGGACATTTGTGTTCACCGCCTCCTGTGGAGTCCATGATAAGGTGCAGCAAGCGTGGGCCGCCTAGGTGCCCAGTGGGCCCTATGACTAACTACACCAGCCATGAGCAGCAGGACCAAATAGGCCCGAGCCAAATGCAGTTTCATCATCCCTCAGTGAGCAACGGCCAGCAGCATCAGCCCCAGCAAGGGCTGAGTCCTAGCCAACCGCAGACTGGCTTGGATATGGGAAGTGCAAGTATGTTATGTCCAGGTTAGGCTTGTCATAGTCAGTTATGAATATGACTAGTTTATCTACATGTTTTCAGAGAAGCTTTTAGGCTGGCAGTTTGTAGAGCATTACAAAGTGCTATCTTTACTTTTTAGAGCACCAAATAGGGCTCTGTCCCTGCTTCGCAAATGTGCTCCAGATAATACTAGACCTAAGCACTCAATATCTGTTTGTATACCATCTGGAGTCTTCCAATTCCCTTAATGCTGACTTGTGCAACTGGATGGAGTTGGGTCACATCTATAACCAATGTTTGTTTTTCTCTATGTAGCATCTCAACTAAGTTAGTTATCAAAAAAAGAAAAAGACAGAAAACTTAAGTTAGTTTAACCATTAGAAGCAATTTCTTAGATATGGCCTAGTCTTTGTGTTTTATCTGTTACTGAAATGCATTGGTGCATGCCTTCTTTATAAGCAATACAGATTCAATATGTAGTTTAATACTTTCCTAATAATTCCCTCTTATCTTTTTTATGAAGGACATTTGTGTTCACCGCCTCCTGTGGAGTCCATGATAAGGTGCAGCAAGCGTGGGCCGCCTAGGTGCCCAGTGGGCCCTATGACTAACTACACCAGCCATGAGCAGCAGGACCAAATAGGCCCGAGCCAAATGCAGTTTCATCATCCCTCAGTGAGCAACGGCCAGCAGCATCAGCCCCAGCAAGGGCTGAGTCCTAGCCAACCGCAGACTGGCTTGGATATGGGAAGTGCAAGTATGTTATGTCCAGGTTAGGCTTGTCATAGTCAGTTATGAATATGACTAGTTTATCTACATGTTTTCAGAGAAGCTTTTAGGCTGGCAGTTTGTAGAGCATTACAAAGTGCTATCTTTACTTTTTAGAGCACCAAATAGGGCTCTGTCCCTGCTTCGCAAATGTGCTCCAGATAATACTAGACCTAAGCACTCAATATCTGTTTGTATGCCATCTGGAGTCTTCCAATTCCCTTAATGCTGACTTGTGCAACTGGATGGAGTTGGGTCACATCTATAACCAATGTTTGTTTTTCTCTATGTAGCATCTCAACTAAGTTAGTTATCAAAAAAAGAAAAAGAAAAATTAAGTTAATCAGTTTAACCATTAGAAGCAATTTCTTAGATATGGCCTAGTCTTTGTGTTTTATCTGTTACTGAAATGCATTGGTGCATATAGCGATCCCGGTTTTCCCTCCATTGGTTGTTATATCCCGGACTCGAGTTCCGAGTTCCGTACTGATATCTGTATCTTGTTTCCATCCTATAATTTCTTGTATTTGAGTTTTGGGATGTGTTGGGCAGGTTTGTAACAGGTTGGTTGTGATTGGAAGCAAATGGTTGCTGTCCAGCCTTTAGTCTCTTCGCTCGAGCCAGGACTTTGTCGCTCGAGCGAGTCTTGTGTTGTTGCTTCTTCACTCGAGCGAGGGTTTGTACGCTCGAGCGAGCTTTGTGTGTCTTCAGGTTTTTGTTCGGACTCCGCCTTGGCTCGAGCGAGCTTTTCTTCGCTCGAGCGAGCATTCTTGCGATCGAGCGTGCTTCTGGGTTGCAGACTTGAAGCTCCGTGTTGTTCGCTCGAGCGAGGTTTCCTTGTGTCTAGTCACTCGAGCGACCACTCCTTCGCTCGAGCGAGGAGCGAGTTTATCAGTTCGCAGCAGCAGTTTCTTCTTCACATTTTGATTTCCTTTTTGTCTCAAAACCCTAAATCGGCAGCTTCTCTCTCTCTAAACTCTCTCTCTCTAAAAATACATCTTGTTCTTGAGACCTTCTACCCTAGTCTCTTTGTAAAAAGGGTTGAGCATCGCGGGGCTACGTTTTGATCCGTGAAAGTTTGGGTTTGGAGCACTTTCAAGTTTTGCTTTTCTTCTCCTTTGGGTTTCTCCATTTGAGGTAGGGATTTCTTTGTTCTTTTTTCAATACTCCGTCTATAGATAGACGTGGTAAATTTGTATTGCATGAAAATCATATCCATGTTGGATTTCTTTGGAAATCATGTAAGGGAACTTAGGGTTGGTTGTTTGAGAACGAATTTGTTGTCATTGTTGGTTATTTGGACTATTTGGGAGGTAATATAGCATGATATTGTTGAAAGAGGAGAAAACCCCAAATTATATTTTGATTTGGTAAATTAAAGAGGGAAGTTGATTGAACAATAATTGTAAATTACTATTGTTAATATGAGTTGGGTGAAGGTGTTAATGCCTAAGGGATTAACTATGGCTTTGGGGTTGTTTTGAAATGAATGTATTGAACCGAGTTAGATTATGGTTTTATTATCCATGGAATTGGTTTTGTAAAATAAAAAGAATGGAATTGGTTTTGTGAATGGGAAAAGTGTTTTCGGGAATAAGTGGTGTAACATGTTAACTTGGAAAGTTTATGAAAGTTGACCTTGAAAATGGAAAATGAAATGTTAACTCTATGTGAGTCTCGGAAAATGAATATAGAAATTGAACTATTGTGTCATGAGTGTTGAATACCCACATTTAGGGTTTTACCTTTACCAATCGTACTAGCGTTGTTGTTGGGTTTAAGATCTCATAATAGTTGAGTTTTCTAATAGGTGTACTGAACACATGCATCTAGAGGTTTTGTCCTTGGTTATCGGTGGAGGATGACATTGTTGTATTGAATTGTTGTGTTTGCATTACAGCGGTGTTGATTGAACATTGTATTTAATGAAGTGCTATGATACATTATACATGCATAATTGTTAGGGAGGAGATAGGTGATGTACTCCAGTGTGTGGGAGGAGATAGGGGATGTATTCCACACACCTATGCGTTCATATACTTTAACACATTGCTTATGTATTTTGATAGTTTATGTGTGTGCATTACACTTGTTGGTTATGCTCTGTTGTATTATAATTACTGGTGTTATACACTACGCTTATAATCAGAGGTACCGTTACCTTCCAGCTAGCGCCTGGAGAACTGACTGCGCTTATAATCAAAGGTGCCGTCACCTTCCAGCTAGCGCCTGGAGAACTGACTTTGCCGGTAGAACAGAGTCTTATTGTTATAGTCTCAGTGTATCTGAGTATATCATGGATTGCGATGGTTACAGTTTTGGAGGGCCGAGTTGCCTCATTTGTTGATTATACACATGTTGATGATTTGTTATCTCCCTTTTATTAAAGGCATGCATGTATAGATATGAATGTATTGGGAACAAGCCAAAATGTCATTTTGAAATTTTGGAAAAATGTGAAGGAAAATTGGGTATTTGAAAGTATGTTTGAAAAAGGGAAAATTTGTTGTAAGTATGGAAATTGGGAGAAGGGTAAGGGACTTGGTGAAACTATTTTCTAGAATTGTTTTTATCATGAAAGTTGGGAAAAGGGGTAATGAAAAGAAAAGAAAGGTGAATCGCTTTCAGTGTTGAATGGAACGGCTGATTTGAGAAAAGTTCATACATATGTATATTTTGTATAAACTCTCACCTTACTATTCTAGTATGAGATTGGGCATTCATGATCATAACTATCTGTAAGTTGTTATTGTTGAGGATCATGTTGAGATCCCTACTGGACTATATGTTCATCCCACGTTGTTGAATCTTTTTCAGGTGTTAAGCAGGATGTGCTACAAGATTTGGATCTTCTTATTTGTTGGCCACGGGGCCTTTTTTGTGTTGGCGAAATGCCATATATGAAAAAGGGTTACACCCTTCTTCTTGATTCCTTAATGATGTAAGCCCTCGGGCAGTTTATTTAGAATGCTTATGTTGTATTTTAATTTGCATTCGAATGAGAGAATTGTTATTTATTTCTACTAGTCGAACATTTGAGTTTATTTCCGCATGTTATCTCTGAAATTGAATTAAGTTCATGAATTTGGAAATACTTTCGAGTAATAAAAAGTGGGGCGTGACAGTGCATGCCTCCTTTATAGGCAATACAGATTCAATGTGTAGTCTAATACTTTCCTAATAATTATCCCTTATCTCTTTCATGAAGGACAACTTTGTTCACCACCTCCTGTGGAGTCTATGATTAGGTGCCGCAAGCATGGGCCGCCTAGGTGCCCAGTGGGCGCTATGACCGACTACACCAGCCATGAGCAGCAGGAGCAAATAGGCCCGAGCCAAATGCAGTTTCATCACCCCTCAGTGAGCAAAAGCCAGCCACAACAGCCCCAGCAAGGGTTGAGCCCTAGCCAGCCACAGACTGGCTTGGATATGGGACGTGCAAGTATGTTGTAGAAATTTAATGTTTTAGTGGAGTAGGTTTAAGTGGGTGAAGTAGGTGGAGAGTATGTGGATTTAGTGGGTTAGGTTTAGTGGAGTAGGTGAGGTGGTAGTGGTGTAGTGGGTTAGGTTTAGTGGAGTAGGTTTAAGTGGGTGAAGTAGGTGGAGAGTAGGTGGATTTTAACATATGTTATGTCCAGGGTCAGGCTTGTCATATTCATAATATGACTGGTGTACATATTCAGTTATTCCTTTCTTTCTTTCATTTGTGTGTGTGTGTGTGTGTTTTTCTTTTGGATAGATTCTAGCAGCATCAGGAGGACTCGTGGTCGTGGCCCAACTCGGTGCCTCGATGTGTGGAATATGGAAGGTAAGATATCTGTTAGCGTCAATGAGCTGGGGCAGCCCATTGGCCTTGAGGCACCCAAACTCACCAACTTTCTCGGTACCATAGCACGAAATGGGCACATGGCACCCCTTAATTATGTTGATTGGCGGGCATTACCAGATGAGATCAAGGAGAAGATGTGGCAACAAGTTCAGGTTCAGAGAAATTTTACTTATTTGTTCATATCTATATATATATTTTTTATGTGACGTGATCACACATTTCCTACATATGACAGTCAAAATTTGAGATTGACCCAAAAAGTGAAAGTTGGGTCTTGAAGTCCATCGGCAAAAAATGGAAGGACTGGAAAGCTGAGTTGAAGGCTAATCATTATAATACTCATAAGACTGACGAGGAGCGGCTAGCAGACCGTGATGAGAGGGTCGTTCCAGATCAGTGGCAGATCCTCATTTCATTTTGGAACTCCAAAGAGGCAAAGGTTGTGTATTGAGTAATAATTTTAGGGTTACATTCTGCATTGAGTAATAATTGTAGGGTTACATTCTGCAATTATGCAGGCCAACACGATGCAATTCATAACATGTTTAATTGTCCATTTCTTATGCTGCATTATAGGAACGCAGTGTTACAAATAAGGCCAGTCGCGCACAACAGAAGATAACTCACACTACAGGCAGAAAGAGCTTTGCACAAGTACGCGAAGAACAGGTAGCTTCATATATGCGTTTGGAACTTTAGAATTGCATGGTTGTTGACGTGTTTTTGCATTCATGTAGTAATGCACTAGTATATGTTGTTCATTAAGTACAGCGTGCAAAGAGGCCTGATAAGGAGCCATCCCGGGCAGAGCTATTCATATTGACTCGTACACGGAAAGATGGGCAACCTGTAAATAAGGAATCTTCAGTGTTAATTGTATGTAATTGTTTAGCTGCTTTCTGTTTCTTTTTCAATATGCAGTGGAATTTTACTTTATCAGTTCTATAATTTATTAAATGTCTGGTTCTTTATTGCAGTCGCAACTTCGTGAACGGGCAGCTCAACAGAAGGAGACCTCACAAAATGGTACTGTCAAAGATGACATCTTATCTCAAGTAATGGGACAAGATAGACATGGCCGTGTTCGCACTTATGGGTTGGGCCCTGCCCCTTCTGCCGTGAAAATGGTCTCTAAGGCTAATGCGGAGGTACATGATATGAAAGAGAAAATGGCTTCCATGGAGCAGACGTGTGCACAGATGGCATCCCAAATGTCCAGTATGATGTCAATGATGTTGAACATGCAGAAGAAGTTCCCATCTGAGCAAGGTTCACCATCCGAGCTTTTGCATGCTGGACAGGTAACATTCTAGATTTCTTGCATTTGATTTGAAATTAATGCCCGTTGTGTTAAACACCAACCCAAGTTTATTCTTGATAGGTTGCGGATGTCTCCAACAATTCTAGAGAATCGCCACAGCTGCAAGCTATTCCACCATCACATGTCCAGGGGGTTCCATCTCATCAGGTTAATGAAATTCTCTTTCTATTGTTAATAAGTTATTAGAGCTGTGTGATATTATCCGTTTCTTGTAAGTTGTAACTATCAAATAATGTTAATTCATGAGTTTCAGGGATGCGCAGTGAAGAGAGGAAAGACACAGAATGCAAAACGTGCAGTGAAGAGAGGAAAGACACAGAATACAAGTATCAGCAAGGTAATTCTTTTCAGGAATGGCGATTGTATTACTGTTTTTCTATGCAATTATTTCACTTGTATATTTGACTTTTGTTATTCTAAAGGCGTAGGCCTCAGATTGTAGACGTGTGTAGAATTGAGACATAAGTATTGGAAATAACCTGTTGAGATGTCATTGTTACGTCATGATTCTTGTGAATTGTTTATACTGACATTTTGGACCTAAGGAGCATGGACACTTTTAAGAAGATGACGTATCCGTGTCGTGTCTGTGTCAGACACCGACACTCTTTGGACACTTCCCCAACACGTGTTCAAGACTCTTCAAAACGTGCCCTATCTTTTAATTTTTTTCAAAGATCCGGACACTCTTTGGACACTTAGAAGAAACCCTTGTCTATCGCTTCAACACACGTGTCTATCGATTAGACATAGGTGAAACTAATTATAAGTTTGAACAAAACTACTTAAGATACAATAATAAAACAAAAACCATATAATTTATAGGAATTAGTGTCATATTACATTTTTATTTTTAGTTTTTTGCATGATATATTCATATATATATATATATATATAATATAGAATAAATATATAAAATTATATATTTCATACCAACCTGTCCCCCTCGTGTCGTGTCCTGCATTTTTTGAAAATTAACGTGTCGGCGTATCCATGTCATATCCGTGTTGCGTTGCGTGTCCGTGTCCGTGCTTCTTAATTCTGGACATTTAGGGATATACAAAACTGAAGGAACAATTGTTGCCTTGTGTTAAATTAGTCAACATTTGCACTTAAAAACCACAATATGTGGATTCTGATTGTCTCTTTTATTTGTTGGTTATTTTCTTTTGCAGGTTTCGCGCAAAAAGAATTGATGCTCGGTTAATTCCTCATCTTATTTGTGAACGTGACATTTGTTGAATGCATTATCATGTGAGTACTGATCTTTGGTGCCTTTCTTAGATATATAAAACTCGATTTCACTATGGTTAATTGCTATTGCAAAAAACATAAATTATGGTCTTTTTTATTCGAATTTAAATTTCTGGTTGTGGACGCCAACTGTGAACATAAGACATTGTACCTATGAATTTGATTGTTGTTTAACTGTCTTAGAACTTTGTCCCTTTTTTTTTTTGAATGGAACTTTGTCCCTTTGATTCATCGCATTTTTTACAGGAAAGGAAAGAAAAGAAAAATTAAAAGGATTTTCTTTTTATGTATGTTTGTTCAGTATTTGCAAAAATATATTTCACTATAACTATTTTCTTAAAAGAAACTCTTTCGATCTTATCATTTTTTTTATTTATTTTTTTTGTTTTTTATAGAAAGTACAGGATTGTGTTGCTGAAAACTTAAATTACTTTTTTGGACAAATATTTCTTGTATACTGAACAATTAATGGGAAAATAAATTATTATTGTTATTATTATTATTATTTTTTCTTTCCTTTCTTGAGAATTCATTTTTCTCCTGAAATAATATATTCTTGACAACTGAACCTAGTAAAAAAGCATAGAAGTTTTGACATAAATTTTTGAGCTGGATCAATCCATAATGCCTCTGATTATATGCATATATATGAATATATACATATGGAGCAACTTTGTCTTTCTTCTATAAAGGTGTAGTAAGAAACTCCATTGTCTCTGAAATTTAATCTTCAAGGCACCCTCTATCAGCTTTCAAGAACCCTTTAGGGGAATTTTCATTTGAACTCAAATTTATATATTAAAAGTTAAATTTGGGTAAAAATTACTCAAAGCACCCTCTTTTCTATACATAAATTTGAGTTTGTCAAGTGAGTGACTTTAGTTTCAGATCAAATAAAGCTTTTACTCTAATTTTTTATAGAAATTTGAGTCAAAATTTTGAGAAAGGGCAGCAAGGTACTCTCTTCTTCAATTGTAAGGGTTGATTATGACAGAAATTTTACAAAACGTTAAAAATGTTAAACAAAGAATGTTTTTTTGCTTTTTGCATTTGCTAATATCACCCTGTGCAGTGCTTCACTTCCATACACACTGCATTCACCCTCTATTGGAGTTTGTAAGGGTGTTCAAAAAAATTGATGGAACCGGTAAATCGGTTCATACTAGTTTCAGTTCAAATCATTGTTTAGTTTTTAGTTCTAGTTCTAAAATTGGTAGAACTATTCAAATCGGTATAGTTCTCAATTTCAAGACTTTGATTATGATTTTGAACCGAACTAGATCTTAACATATTTATTTATTTTTATATGTAAAAATTAAAATATAAAAAATTTCTTATAAAATTTGAACAATAGTCTTTAATATAAAATTAACAAACTCAAACCAATTTAACAAAATTAATTATTGTTAATTTGTTTTTACTACTTGTAAAGGTGTGCATCTAAGTTGGTGTATAGTGTTTTGTAAAAAGTATAATTTTGGTATTTTGTCGGGTCCTTAAAATTTTTCTCAATTTTAGAGTGCTGCTATTAGCACTGCATCAATTATTTTGGACCCTCCATTTCTTTGAACCCCCACTTATAAATTTTCAAACCCTTAAAATTCTTTTCCCCCCAAATAATACCAAAATTATCTTTGCGAAAATATTTCTCCTATTCAATCGAATGCACACACCTACACTCCAAAAAGCCTCTCTCCCAAAAATCCGAACAAAATCCACGAAAGTGATTATTATTTTATTTCTACATACTTGTTCATAATCTGAGAAAATAAATGTAGAATTTTTTATTGTTGATTCAAAATTCCTCTTTTGTGGGTTCTGCGATCTCCATGAGTTTCGATTATTTGTTTTCGAACAAATGAGAATGTTTAGTTACCTGTTCCTCAACAAATGAACAATGTTTGGCCTGTGTTCTCAAATTTCGACCATATGTTCGGGAGTTCAGTTCCGAAAAAATGACGAACAATTTTTATTATTTTTGCCTTTCTTTTTTCTTCAAGAAACTTACTCTTACAAGGCCAATATCCTCTAAGTTAAGAACACCATTAAAATTATGAACCTCCTCTAAGCTTTTACTGTTGTACTCATCTCGTCTCACGGAGTTGTGGTTGCCAAAAAAACTTCAACTCATTGTCATTGCCAAAGAAGTGTAAGTAATCAAATGGTTGCCACCACTATTGCTGGAATATTGTTGCCAAAGAGTTTTCAAGGTTTTGAGAGTAGGTAGATTTTGAAGGTGAGATTTGGAAAAGATGGGTAGCTGGTGATAGAGGTGGATGCTCTCATAAACCCTATCTCATGATGTAGTGGATATGTAGGCTTAATTGTGAGATGGGGTATTCCAAAATTATTGATGTTTTTTTAATAATTTCATTTGAGGTTATCATTGTAAAAAAAAAAAACTAAAAAATGGGCGGTCCAAAATAATTGATGGGGTGCTAATAGCAATACTTCAATTTTAAATTAGGTAAATTACACTTTGCCTCATTTATATTTGGCTACTTTTCCTATTTGACCCTTAAAGTTTATTTTTCTCGTTTTAGCCTTTCATATTTCAAGTTTTTCCCAATTTACTTATAAAGCTAATTTTTGCTCAATATTAGACAGAAAATGTCACAATAGTTGTCACATAACATAAAAATATATTATTATATTGAAGTTTGAGTTTGTGTTAGAAGTGTGAGTTATATATAATAAATTATTTTTATGCCACACGACTTTCAATGTGTCATTTTGTGCCTAATTTTTAACAAAAATTAACTTTAAAAGTAATTGAAAAAAAAAAACTTGAAACATGAAAGGCCAAAGTGAAAAAGAAAAAGATAAAAAAAAATTTAAGAGCCAAAGTAGGAAAGTGACTAAACATAAAAAGGGCAAAGTGTAATGAGCCATGATACATCTACTTAAAATCTTACTAAAAGCATTTATGTCCAAATATCATTGGAGAATTTGTATTTTCAGTAAAATTTTTAATAAAATTGTTAATATATGTAAGATTATAGTGTAATTTATCCTTTTAAATTTTGTAGGTGAGAATTGAAAGAAATAGAAAGTCTTAATTAATGAAGTAGAGGCTATTAATAACACTCATAAAACATACATAAAATGTTGTCTTCCACTTAGTCCACAATTCTCTCCCAATCCCCATTAATCACTTTAAAGTTGGCATTTTCTTTTTCTAATTTAATTATTTTAGCATATCAATTTGAAAAATATAATTATAAATATCATACGTTTAACGACACTCAGTCCATAAGTCAAATTTTAGATTTCTTCAGTTTAAAAGTTCACACGCTAAATTACTATGTCCATAAGGGCATGCTCTGTGAACGGACTAAACTACTTTATATTTTCCATCTTTCTATCTATGAGAGACAAAAATAATAAAACAATAACCTAGTTTTTGCATAATAATAGTAAAATAATAACTAAAAATTATTGATTTTCGAAAATTGTATGTCACTGATCATGGGTGCACCATGTCAACCAACAACTGGACCTATCAGCCTAGCCGACCACTGACGCCAATGGTACATCGTCACCCCATGGGTGGAGAGTCTTGCTTCGGTGACACAGTCACAAGCGAGACTTCCCATGTGTGATACGCCTACACTCAAGTGACAGGTCAACTAGCTCTGATACTATGTTGTAACGCCCCGTATTTTATTACTCGGATAATCTTACCAATATTCATTAATTAAGTCCATTTACAAATAACATTTCATCCTTGGATGAAATGATGAATAATTAAATATACATATTCCCTTTCGTTATACAACAATGACATTTACATACAAATAAAAGAAATGTCCTGAGGCTTACAATAAAAGAGAGGACACTACTCTTTACAAAAAAAATAGCACTCAGCCAAATAACAAATGAAGTAGTACAATCCATCACTACATTACACTTATAAAATGGTAAAAACCATTATTTGATATTCAAATCCAAAAAGCATTCCCTGTACACATGTACAGACATGGGGTGAGCAACCACTCGCTCACCAAACAATTCTATATTAAAACATCAGAAGATGTATGGGTACCAAAATACTCATATATATACGTGAAATCATATCATGTCAAAACCATATAATTTTATTACCTAATCTCTTAAATCCAATTTATTTAATTAACCACAACAAGTTAACTTAAATAAATAAACATGTTTCAATAGTAACAGGATATCATTTTCAATTCATTCAATTATCTCATTATTAATTGAATCAAATAATTAAACAATTCATTAAATCCATTTTATACAGCCTTATGAGATGAATGCATATGCCATGTCATGTTCAAAATATTTTTCTCATCTTTTGAAACTCTTATGCACAATGCCAATTTGAAAACATATTAATCTAACAAATTCAATAAAATTTCAAGATGGTAAATATGACTCAGATAATCCCTAGGCTGGTGTCTGCAAGTAAACTATACAAGTACTACCAATTTGTCATTTTTACCGGTATTAAATGGAAAGCTCGATACCTGTAATCTGTCATTTTTATCAGTATTAACTGGAAGGCTCGACACCTGTAATTTGTCATTTTTACCAGTATTAACTGGAAGGCTCGACACTTATCATCTACACTACCTTTCAAGACTTAACACTATATTTACCCCAAAATCATTTCATGAAAACTTGTTTCCCAATATTCCTTTCTCAATGCAAAGTTTTTAAATCAAATTTCAAAACTCCTCATTATTAAATGAATTGATATGCCAATGCAATGATTAATAATACAATGCAATATTTCTTCAACTTTCAATACTTCCACACAATATTCCCATTATGATCAAAATTCTCATTTCTCATTTCAATATAATTTCTCAAGATGAATATAAATACTTTTATTTCAATTCATCCATGGGACAATAAAATTCCCACACTTAGAGTAATCTCAACCATTTAATCATTTCAAGACTATATCAACATTTTTAACAACAATTTCCAAAACTTCAACAATTCTCATATTCCATGAAAACCATCATTTATATGTAAACAAATAAACAATTTTTCAAACATCATTTATTTTGGCACACAAAATAAATATAACAACATCTTCAAAGATTGTCAACATCTTTCTTAAAAACTCCCAATTTCTAGGCTTTCTCACCAAAACCGCTCATCTTCATTTATTGAAAGAAAGTCACCAAAAACATCTCTCTTAAATCCTCAT